CATAAGCTAAGTACTTACTACAAAGAGAAGTAAATGCTTGATCTAAAGTATGTACTTCATATTTTATTCACTCAAATGCCTACAAATGCCCTAGTACAAGCATTTACTAAAGTTTATTCACCTGTCTCAATACTCCAACGATGTAAGTGACTACATACAATGGAATTCCTTTTTTTGCACCAAAAATTGCAACCAGAGGTTCATGGTCCGTAATTAGAGGGAAATGGCGGCCATATAGATACTGATAATCCAAAAACTATTGCACATGCTTCCCTGCCAATGCAAGAATAATTTTCTCTGAGGGAGCCAGGGTTCTCGAAGCATAAGCTATTGGTCGGATATCATCATTGGGAAAAGCTTATGAAATTACGGCGGAAATTTCATAAGCACTAGCGTTACATTGGGATCACAATGAACCAGTACTCTAGACGAAATCATATCTTTCTTAACGTCATTGAAAGCCTTTTTTGGGTATGCGACAAACAGAAATGCTGGCTTTTCTTTAGCAATTGATAGAGGGGTTGCAATTTAGAGCTTATGTCTGGTATAAATTTAGCATAATAATTTACCATGCCTAAGAGGGCCTTAACTTTTGTCACATTTGAGGGTGTTTTCATATTAGCAGTTGCTCCTATTTTTTGTTTATTGGTACGTAAACCATCTTTGTTGACTGTATAGCCCAAGCAGTCCAATTTTTGCACTCCAAAATGGTACTTTTCGAGACGAACAGTCAAATTGTAGATATTTACTTAACTTCTCGAAAACCTTAACCAAGATTTGAAGGTGTTTCTTTTCATTTTCAGCAGCTACCAGAATATCGTCGAGAAAGCTACACTTTCTAAATTGTTAAAAAGCTGGTCCACTATTTTTTGGAAGATGCCTGGACTCGAAGAAACTACATATGGTAGTTGATTATATTGAAAAAGTCCTTTATATGTGTTAATGGTTACCAGTTTTTTTCTTCGTCGTCTAAAGGAATTTGAGCATATGGCTGTGACAGGTCTTACTAAAAACACAGCAGTTTTATAAAATACATACAAAATCTTCAATTTCTGGTAAAGGATATTTCATAATGTGTTAATGTGTAGCTTCCACATCACCATCCTTTTTCAAAACGGGCACTATGGGTGTAGCCCAGTCGCTAAATTCAATAGGTGTTAAAATACAAGCCTTGCTTAAATTTATGAGTTCTGCTTCGACGTTGACTTTGAGAGCTATAGGTAGCGATCTAGGATTGCAATAAACGGGAACTGAATTTTCTTTTGAATACAATTTAGCGCACTCGCCATTATAGCAACCGACGTCATCTCGAAACACCTCCGAACATTTATTTTTCGGTAGTTTTGAAACTCTCACTGAGAAATCCGTCCCATCAATATGAAACAAATTGTCTAGGGATATATTTACCTTCTTAATCCAATCGCGACCGATTAAGGTGGTCCTTGACATTTTACTACACACAATTGCAAATTTTCAGTATCAGTCCTTACATTTACCTTGATAAATCCTGAAATTTGAAGCACATTCCCAGAATATGATTGCAATCTAAGATCGCTTCCAATCATTGACAAAGAAGAATAAGTTCTATAATGTTCCGCCTCAGATATGACAGAATACGCTGACCCGGTGTCAATTTCCATATACATAACGACATCATTGACATTTAAGTGAATTTTTAGCGGTTTCTCGTGGTTATTTTCAATTTTGAAAATGTTTTTTGAAATATCTAAATCAACTAACTCAGTTACGTCGCTATCAGATGTTTCATCTGTATCAAGATGGTGCGTTACTCCTTGTTTTACATTTTCAGTTCTATGTTTATCGACACTACGGTTGAATTTCGCGCACACGGCACTAACATGCCCCACTACCGCACCTGTGACATTTCGATTTCCGAAACAAACATCGGATATCTTCGTGGTTTGATTTTCCACAATGGCGGCAACAGCTCTGACGTGACCCTGATTGACCTGCCCTCTGCTCGAAACTGTATGAACTGCTACCATCGCGGCCAGTGAAGGTTTTACTACCTCCACCATGAGGGAATTTTTCTCTGCGGCCTCCATATTGAAGGCAATCCTTACTGCTTCAATGCTGTTTAAATCGTTCTCGGTGAAAAGTTGTTGACGAATGTCACTTCGTAAACCATATAGGAATAGATCAGTTAAATGGTCGTTTCGTTTCGACCGTGTACGGAATCGCACGTGTGTATACAAAGATACTCGGATCGTTGAAATCCCTCTCCTTTCTTGGGATAGTTTTTTTATACAAATACCAGTTGCTGTGTTGATTTACATATTAGGCATATTTAAGACAATTAAATTCCACCACCACCACCTACGGGGGTGGGTGGCCCCACCACTAGTGACAGTTTTAGTGGCAATGTGGCAGTATTCGATCTAACCTTCGGTGAAGATAACATGGAATTAACCTCAGGAACGGAAGCTCACAATGAAGATAACCGTCTGCGAAACCCTCAGATTAGCAATTCTACTCACACCGTAGAAAATCCCCTACCTCGATTCTTCAATTTGCTGTCGGATAAGTATTCTTCTGATGTTTATATTTATATGGAGAAATTGAATAAAGAGAAAATTGGTAGGCTACTTCCGATGTTTATAGGCCATCTACCTCAGAAAAAATTAAACTTTAGTAAATTTATTGTCAATATGTCGAGAGTCGGACAAAATAGGATTAAAGTGACAGTTAATTCGACAAAGGCGGCAAACGAAATAATTTCAAATGAAAACCTTAAGACAGAAAACATAAGAGAGTGTATTCCGAATATCTTGCTAAGGGTAAGGGTCTTGTAAGGGTATTATTAAAGGGGTTGACACCTTCTTCGACGAAGATTATTTAAAAAATAATACATCATCTACGGTAGCATTCCTTAGCGTGAGTCGTCTCAAAAGAGAAATTGTTAAAGATGGTGTAGAACATTTGGTTCCCAGATAAACGGCAGTAATTACCCTTCATGGTAATGTGCTCTCAAACGATCTAACCATCAATAGTGTGCTATTTACAGCTGAGCCCTTCGTGCAAAAATTAATTCAGTGCTCTAAATGTTCACGTTTTGGTCATGTATAAAACCAGTGCCGTAGCTCGACTCCTACGTATATGACACGTGATCAATCCAAAGATGAAAATCACTCCTGTCTCGAAACCTGCAGTTATTGTATTCATTGCAAGTCAGTCATCCACAATAGTATTTCAATTACATGTCATGTATTTCAGGAACAACAAAAAATTTAAAAAATCATGGCTAACTCAAATTCGTCATTTATGGATGCCAAGGATAAAGTGACTGGTTCATATGCTAGTTGCGTAGTCAATGATAATCGCTTTCAGCCTTTGCTAAATATGGATCAATCAAATTTTCCGGTACGACCTAGTACGTCAAGACCACCTAATACTTCTAACAGATCTTCGCAAAGGCATCAATATTCTACAAATAAAATATCTGTAACAGCTACGTCAGAGAGCCAACAAAAAACGGAAAATTAATACATCCCCAGTAAGATTCCCAGGTGATATGTTCCATTTCAGTAGCAGCCCAGGGTATCCTGTAATTCGGAGCCAAACATATCAGACCAATGTTGGTAGTGAAAAAGACACTATTGAAAAATTTATGAAAATCTTCAACCAAGTTCTTAATACTTTCAAAACTTTTGAAGAAATACAAAAACATGAGCGAAAATACATTGAGAGATAGAATAGGAAGTATTGTGAGCAATATAATATATATTCCATCTCAAGCTAACATACCTTAGTAAATAACGAAAATGCTTAAAATTATGCAGTCTCCCTTACTTTCTCTACTAAGCGAGACCTGGTTCAAGCCTAATCAAACGGTTAAGTTTAAGGGTTATAGCGCGGTCCGTATGGACAGGCGCGATGGTAAGGCTGGTGTAGCTATTCTTGTTAGGCAAGTAATTACATACTCCCACATTGACTTTGATGGATCTTTTAACAACGACATTATGGCCTGCAGCTGGCGCATATCTAGTGGGAATGATCACATTTCATTTGTTTCCCTTTACAAATCACCAAACGTACACTCAATGTTATCTGACTGAATCTACATTTACTGAGGCTTCTGGTTCAGCGGTTATTGGTGGAGATTTTAACGCCCATTCATTTGTTTGGGGATCATACAGAGAGAATCCTACAGGTCGACAGATTTTGGGGAGTATGTGAGGAGTCAAACTTAGTCATAATGAATTCTGGTTCCCCAACAGGAATTGCTGCCCCTAACTTTCAGGCTTCAACGCCTGATTTAACCATATGCACTCCAGATATCGCTCAAATTTCAAATCGGGAAGTCTTGTCTGATACGCTTGAGTCCGATCATTAAGCCATTTGTATTAATTTACATGTTTCCATACAATCACATACCATAATCTACCCGAACTATAAGTGGAATGTGAATAAGGCTAATTGGTCTAAATACTTAGAGCTTTTGAATAATAGGTTTGACAATCCCCCAGAAAATAAATATAAGTACTTCCTGGAAAAAATCAATGAAGCAAGTGAAATACCTATTCCTGTCTGTAGACCCTTTCGTATAGGAAACAAAGCTCCCCCACCATGGTGGGATCAAGTGTGTAGCGATGCAAAAGATAAGAGGAAACAGGCGCTGTTGCTATATAGTCAGGATAGCAGTCTCGAAAATTATATGGAATGTAAAAAAAAATTGCCAAGCCAATAAGCCTTTTCAAATGTAAATCTAAAAACAACTGGACAAAATGGGTATCGAATCTATATAAAAATACGTCGACAACTGAACTCTGGAAAAAAACTCGTACAATGAAAAGAATTCCAGATGCACAACCTAATGGTACTGATTTTACATGGTTAGACGAATTTCATCGAAAATGTGCGCCAGCTTTTGTCAGTCCATATATGGGAACACCACCCCCAGTACAGCAAAGTTACCTTTTTAGTACTCCTTTCTGTGAAGCCTTTCGGAATGCGCCATTAGTAAATCGATAAATTGATGCCATGGATATGATGAAATCCGCTACCCGATGATCAGCAACCTTCCATCGAATGCTAAGGATTACCTTCTAGAAATATTCAATGACGTCATTTTAAGAGGTGAGATCATTGAGGAGTGGAAAAAACTCGTCGTGGTTCCGATACCAAAGCCCAACAAAAACTTTCATCTAGCAAATTCTTACCATTCTATTTATCTCCTGTTCTCCATTCTCAAAACCTTTGAGAGAATGATAAATAATAGGTTGGAATGGTGGATGCGTTTTCATCCCTTACTAAATCAACAGCTTACTTTTAGAAAAGGTCTTGGTACTACCGATGCCTTAGCTGTTATTGTTAGTGAGATTCAAGATCTGGCAGCATTAATTTTAGATTTGCAAGGTGCTTATGACCAGATCGATTTAACACTGCTGAGAACAAAGTTGGAAATGTACGGGCTCTCTCCTCATTTGTGCTACATCATAACATACCTTATCACAATAGAACAATTTTTGTAAAAGATAATACAAAAAAATAGGACCACGTCATAGTTTCGCTAGCCTGCCGCAAGGTGCTGTCCTCAGTCCTATCATTTTCAATATATACACTGCTGACCCACACACAGTTAATCACAGTAACAAAATTATATAATACGCTGATGACATCTGCATCTATATAGAAAATCGTACCTTATCAGTCTGTACAGATATTCTGGATAGTGTCATGCATTAATACAACCAGTGGTTCAACCAGAATGGCTTTACGTTGTCATACGAGAAATCTAAGCTATGGTTTTTCACTTGCCATGATACCCAAATATCAGACACTCTACACCTGGGAGGACATACGTTCACGGTATATAATACAGTTAAATACATTGGCGTTACTTTAGATAAAAAACTAGATTGGAGGAGCTTCATAGAAAACATCATCGTCAGGTGCATTGCATTGATGTTTTACCGATCATATGTTAGGCCAATACTAGACTACGGAAGCATATTTTTAGCTCTGTCAGTAATACCTTATTGCGTAAGCAGGACGTGGTTCAAAACGCCTTTCTAAGAATATGCTTGAGCGCGATGAAAACTTCCCCCACAGAACCGCTGAGAGTTGAGGCTCTTGAATCGCATCTACATCACCGAAGACAAATGTTTGCTGAGAGATTCCTGGTGAAACAAACGATTAACGACTCACAAACACTGGTTAAGTTACGTCACCTCAACGCCGAAGATCTGACCAACAAATATTGGTTGAAAAGAATTCCCCCACTATGCAGTGCTTTCAGACATATTCAAATAACAGCACCCAAACATCCTAATCTGACCTTTTTCCGAGAAAAAAGCTACCTCTCATTAAAGTCGAACACCAGAACACATAATACCAGAATACAGTGACATCCCATTGTTGTATATTCGCATTTTCAACCAGGTTTGCCTGCATTCCGCGTGGGGTACCCATATCTTTACAGACGCATCCAAGAATCACAACGGAACTGGTTGTGCATATTATACACCCAGTACTCACACAGTTGGCTCCTTTAAACTTCCCGATCAAGTATCTATTGTTTCAGCGGAAGCAGTGGCTATTATCCAAACGCTGAAACATGCAAGCAGTAGGAAGTTGGAAGAATTCACAATTTTTTCCGATAGTCTCTCCGTTCTTTCCTCCTTACAAAATTATGATTGCACAAGGACCACCAATTGTCACATAAATCAAATAAAACATATTATCTGCCACTTGAAAGAAAGTGGAAGCAAGGTTGCATTTGTATGGGTCAAGGCACACTGTGGAATCGTATTCAACGAAAAAGTTGACCAACTCACAAAATCAAGCATCTACACAGGATCTGTATTACAGACACAAATTTCCAAAGGAGATTATAATATTTTATCCAAACAAATCCTATTTAAAGGCTGGACGTTAGAATGGAAGGAATTTTGCTTTTCGAACCCAACGAGGTATACTCTAATACATCCTGATATTCCAACAACGTACTGGCACAAAAAATTTAGAATTTCTCGTAAATGCATATCTATGATTTTTAGATCAACACTTGGGCATGGAGCTTATCCAACACATCTAGCTCCTCATTATCGATTCCAACTTATGTGAACACTGCCACGTTGAGAGGAACTTGGATACTGTGATCGGCTCTATCATAATCTGATTGGCCTGTGCCTTATTTCATCATTTATTGTTCTCCACATTTTATCTTTGAATAAACTTGATGTTACGTGTCTGATAATTGACTTCCTCTGGGTTAAAATTTTAGTTTTGATTAGCTAGATATCCTTTGTGTAACTATCCTCTGTAATTTACCTACCTAACCGTGGCCTAATTGTGTGTCATATTCAGAAAATGCCTTAATGGGCCCTTAGGCGAGAAGAGTGTACCCCTGTCCAATACCATCCTTACTTAGTTAGAGAAGTGTAAATTGTAAAAATGTAAAAAAGATCTGGTTAATGGGACATAGTGCCATTAAAAAAACGTCATAGGTGTATTATACATAGTTATTTATAAGCTCAAGTTCTGTTACTAAGTTTAGAGGCCACCGCTACTTTATTTGGTTTTCGATATGAACGCTTTCTCAGAAGTTTGATTAAATGCCTTCTTACCGTGGCCCTCTACAGTTTGAATGCTCCATACGATGATGATGACATCACGTCATGCCACCTGCCCATTTTCTCAGTGACTATTCTCATACGGTTAAACTGCCTTGCAATATATTTTGATGTAATCGTCGACATATTGTATATACAGGGTGTCCCAGAAGTCGACGTCAAGCCGAAACCGGGTGATAGGCAAAGTCATAACAGCTATCAGAAAAATATTTAAAAAAATTGTATGTATGTGTTTTGAAAATTATAGGTCTTTGAAAAAGATATAGAAATTTCACACCCTACGGCAGTCTGTCAACTCCTGTTACTACAAATATTAACTTTTTTTGGATTTTATTTTTACAATGTAATGATGAATAATGCATCTTCAAACTGGTCTCTCAACCTTACTGCCAACTTTTCTCGTTCAGGAAAAATTGCCACTTATTTCCCACCCAAGTATTCCAAAGTAAAACTTTGCTCAACTTTAACTGGCTGTACTGGAAAAAATGTACTACGAGAGTTTGGCAAGTAACCTTAAAAGTTGGCGCATTTAATAACGATTCCAAAATGGTATAACACTTAGATTACCCGTTAACTTTTGTAAAATTTTTATTTGAACAAAAACTGATGAAAATTTTTCAAAAGTTCCTAATTAAACAGCGATTATGAAAACGCACAACGACCCTTAGGGATAACTGTTTGCACAACACTGGGGGTCAAAATGCTGCTGGACTGTTTAATTGCTCTTCAAAACAACATTTGCCTTCCTTAGACTATCTTTTTGCTCGATATGCTTGTCTATCTGAACAGCTTCCCCTCGCATCGCCCCTTGGAGTTTTCTGGCAGCTTGATGGATTGGCCTTGCATCCCCTGTGTCGGTCTTGTGCTTTGTGACATTCGTCAGCTCTGTGTTGGAGCCTATAGGTTGATCAGCTCTGTAGCTTGATCCGGGAAAACGCCTCTAAAGGTACATCAATCATCTCTTGAAGGCGGCTGCTACCTTTGTTTCTCTGCTTGGCTCCGAACTTGGCTTGGTATATAATCCATGTCACTGAGGAACAGGTACCAACGACAGTTCTTTTCTTCAGCGCGACAAGACGGAAGCTTAGATTCAACAGTCGGAGTGGAACAACGTTGTCAGCCGTCATCATAATCCTTGCCATCAGCACACCCTCTTGAGCTCAATTTACTCAGCTATGACGATTTGTCTCATTCTGATGGCTCCCTCGACACATGCCTTCAAGATGGTCTCGCTGTTTGCAGGTACCACGGTGTCTTCAGCCATGATCACACGGGACGGGCATGTACGGGTACTTCCTGCTGGTTATGCAAATAGCTTCCCCCGCTCCAACTTTGAGCATGACATGCCCCGAGTCGAACTGGAATCCATGGTTGCTCATCGCGTGGATTTCCAGGGTCATATCCTCTGCGATAAACCAAGACACGATGACGGCGGTTCTCGTCTCCATATATCTACCAGCGTCTTTGGACGGACCAATCGTACTGCCGTCTGTAAGCAACATCCACTTAGAGCTGCTGCAGGCTCTTGTTTGCTTTCTGTCAACGGTTTTTATCTGTGGCTGGTATATCTGCTTCAGATGGACTCGCATTCCAAGCGTGGAAGAGTGGAACCCGTCAATTACGACGGATATCTTGCGGCTGAAGATAAAGTCAGCCACCCATCTGCAAAGCTTTTCTGGGAGGCCCTAGGATGGAATTTTGCTTAAGAGGACAGCGTGCCACAGCTGATCGAACGCTTTCGTGATCTCAAGAGCAACATGTGCCTCACCATAAAACTGGATTAGTTTACTCCACAATTGCGTGACGTAAGCTAGGAGGTCCCCTGTGGATCGTTGATGCCGGAAACCATACTGCCTGTCGCTAATCAAGCTGTGACGTTCGAGGTAGCCCAGAAGCTCGCGATTTATGCACCTCTCCATCACCTTACTTATAACAGAAAGCAGAGCTATATTCCTGTAGTTGTAGGGGTCGGTATTAGATCCTCTGTTTTTGGGATGGGTTCGACATGAGCAAATTTCCAGTTTTCTGAGAAGGTACCAGACTCATACCTGTTCAGTACAATGGCAGGAATCAAGTCTGGAGTCGAAGCTTTGTTGATGTCGAGCGACGAGAGTTACTTCCCGCATAGTGTAGGGAATCCTTTGAATTGACGGCACTTGGGCGTTAGGGGGAACGTCCATGGTGGAGTTGGCAGCAAAGATCTTGGCAAGCACTTCCGCCTTGGCCTTTGAGTTGGATACAATCGTACCATCCTGACACGTAAGTAGTGGAAGGCTACTGTGTGAGAAATTCTTTTCAATCTGCTTGGCCTGCCTCCATCTAGCAACATTACCCTGTGCCTAACTTTAATATCGTGCTGGTTTTTGGCATTGCGAACCGCTTCGTTATATTTTTTTCTGGACTCGAGGTCGGCTTGTCTGTTCTCTGCAGTGGGATTTTGTAAGAAGGTTCTGTGTGCCGTGATCTTCTGCTGGCGAGCAGTGTCACACGATTTGTTAAACCAGCCGTTGGACCTTGGTTTAGGCACCTTCACTGTGTATTGTTATGCTGTACTCTTGTGATTGGCCTTAGGTGCTATTTTCCCAAGGTTGATGAGAATGGACAATAAAAGAAATAGAATGCTTGCACTTGAATGCTCACAGAAAAAGGGACTTTTGCCGGGAGGATTAGAAATGTTAATAAATTTAAGATTATTTTTGATGTTATTTGAGCAAAAAAAAAGATATAATTCATAGGTACTTGTATACTTACATTTTATATTAGTTTGTGGTGTTATTTTAGCCTCAAAATAATAACAAGGTTTCTGAGACGCATTTTCATGTCATGAACATCAAAAAGCTGGTTAAGCTGTGTTAGAATATATTTTTCGGTTAATCATGAAACATCATTGTAGGACGAAGAAGTGGCCCTTTCGCAAATAAATGATGCGACATTGTCATC